ACGTTTTGTAGCGCGTTCTACGCTCGACAAAACGCTCAAACATCTAAATCCCATTGTATTCAATGGATCTGGTTCACACCTTGGCGTATTTCAGCCCGTCCCTAACGCGCTACAAAACGGCCCACACCTGAAAAGGTACATGTACTACTTAGGGCCGTTTTTGTTGCGTGTTTCCATTGGGATACAGCCAAGTAGCCCTCGGAAACGCGCGGTTGTCGCGCGATTTTTTTACCGCGAATCGCGGTAAAAAAATCGCGCGACAGACGCGCATATGCAATACGCCTAGGTGTGAACCAGGGCTCAGGCTGTAATAACCCCCCCAGCATCAGTGGTCAGTGGCAGGCTCAGTCTGTAATAATAAACACCCCCCTGGCATTGATGATCTGTGACAGGCTCATGCTGTTATAAACTCCCCCAATATTGATGGTCAGCGGCCGGCACAGGCCAGTGGCGGCTCTAGACTTTGTGAGGCCTTAGGCGAAACTCAAAATGTGAGGCCCCCCACTCACACCCGTAATCAGGGCTTGAAAAATCCACAGACGAGAGGACGGCGGAGGCTGACGAGTAGCTTCCCGGCCGCCCGTTGTAATTACACGGCCGGCCGGGAGCTTTACATTCAAGCAATCGGGCATCTTTAGAGACGCACGACTGCTTGTATAGGAGCAGGCATCCTTGGCGGTCCCGAGATCCGCTGTGCCCGATGCGGCCGGGACCGGCACGGCTGCTCTGTGATAGGAGTTCAGTACACAATCTCCCTCTGATCTCCTCTCCAGTCCCTGAATGCAGGAAGTGATGTATATTACATCACTTCCTGCATTCAGTGTCACAATCCAGCTACAGGAGCTGATGAAGCAGATCTCTGGGGGTCCCTAGAAGACATTAGGGGTTTTGGAGACCCCTGATGTCTACATAAAGAATTTTATTTATATAAATATTCCTTAAAATAATAAAATACTAGAAAGGTGAGAGGTCCCAACGGATAAAAAAAAAAAAGAGAAAAATAAATAAAATACAAACATACAGTGCAATAATAAAATTGGCTCTGTGACAATGAATGTTTACTTCACTTTATCTCATCTGTTTTACAATGGCTAAATCTTTACACCAATAGCAAACCATACTCCTTAAGGTATTTCACAATACAGTAGATGAAATTGGCTCAACACAATGCACTGACAGTTCACCTTCCCCATGAGCTAAGTGAGACATTCAAAATAACATACAGAGTGTCTAAGAGCCAGCTTGTGAATACATCTGTCAAAGGTCTTGAGGGCGAGCACAGGAATCATGTTAAACCCTGGCATTGATGATCTGTGGCAGACTAACACCTCGTTCACACCTGAACGTTTTGTAGCGCGTTCTACGCTCGACAAAACGCTCAAACATCTAAATCCCATTGTATTCAATGGATCTGGTTCACACCTTGGCGTATTTCAGCCCGTCCCTAACGCGCTACAAAACGGCCCACACCTGAAAAGGTACATGTACTACTTAGGGCCGTTTTTGTTGCGTGTTTCCATTGGGATACAGCCAAGTAGCCCTCGGAAACGCGCGGTTGTCGCGCGATTTTTTTACCGCGAATCGCGGTAAAAAAATCGCGCGACAGACGCGCATATGCAATACGCCTAGGTGTGAACCAGGGCTCAGGCTGTAATAACCCCCCCAGCATCAGTGGTCAGTGGCAGGCTCAGTCTGTAATAATAAACACCCCCCTGGCATTGATGATCTGTGACAGGCTCATGCTGTTATAAACTCCCCCAATATTGATGGTCAGCGGCCGGCACAGGCCAGTGGCGGCTCTAGACTTTGTGAGGCCTTAGGCGAAACTCAAAATGTGAGGCCCCCCACTCACACCCGTAATCAGGGCTTGAAAAATCCACAGACGAGAGGACGGCGGAGGCTGACGAGTAGCTTCCCGGCCGCCCGTTGTAATTACACGGCCGGCCGGGAGCTTTACATTCAAGCAATCGGGCATCTTTAGAGACGCACGACTGCTTGTATAGGAGCAGGCATCCTTGGCGGTCCCGAGATCCGCTGTGCCCGATGCGGCCGGGACCGGCACGGCTGCTCTGTGATAGGGGTTCAGTACACAATCTCCCTCTGATCTCCTCTCCAGTCCCTGAATGCAGGAAGTGATGTATATTACATCACTTCCTGCATTCAGTGTCACAATCCAGCTACAGGAGCTGATGAAGCAGATCTCTGGGGGTCCCTAGAAGACATTAGGGGTTTTGGAGACCCCTGATGTCTACATAAAGAGGGCCTGTCATGTAAATTGGCTATCACATAGGGGGCTTCTTAGCCCCCTATGTGAAAGCAATAAAGTTGTGTAAAAAAGTATTATAAAAAAAATGAAGAGGCATAAGCCCCCCGCCCCCCACGTACACACGCAGATATGCTTCGGGTGTGCCTACATGCAAATACGACAATTGCACCTTTTGTGCCGCACATGATATACATCACCACGAACGTTGGAGCAATAATTTTAGGGTCATTAATAACTGATAACTAAACTGATGAGCAATATAAGCGTTTAAAGCGTTGCCTATGGTCAGTTTTCGGTGTGGTCATATGCTGCGATTTTGCGGGCGCGCACAATTTTAAAGCTTGACATGTTTGGTGTCTATTTACCCGACGTGACCCCGACTTTGATATTTTACCACAAAATATGGGTAAGAATAAATGTTTAATAACATAATGGAGGGAAAAAAATTTTATGTGAAATTTACAGTACTTTTTTCATTTTTTTTTTTTTTAAGCATATAGATCTTTATTAAATTTTCCATAACCAATAATGGTCCAGTGTACATACATGAAATAGCATCTGCATACATGTCGTAATACATGAAGGAGCAGCCATCATTAGTTATTACAGAGACCATCAATAGTATAGAATCAAGGATGATAACAACCCCCGAACTCAAGCATGAATAAAACATGTCATATAAAGCAGTATTAACTCCTGGAGGAAACCTGAACCAATGTAGATCAGAAGAAGAGGGAAAAGTGAAGAAAAGAAGAGAAGTAGGTGCATGGGAGAGTATGTAAGGATAAAGAATAAAGAAAAGAGAAGAGGGGGTGTGATCGTAAGCATATTCCCAAGGGGATGTGTGTGGCCGGATGTTTTTTCATTTTATAGTAAAAAAAAGTAAAAGGAACGCACAGAGGTCAGAATTAAGGAAAGAGCAGAGGGCAGAAGTAAGGAACGCGCAGAGGGCAGAAGTGAGGAACGCGCAGAGGGCAGAAGTGAGGAACGCGCAGAGGGCAGAAGTGAGGAACGCGCAGAGGGCAGAAGTGAGGAACGCGCAGAGGGCAGAAGTGAGGAACGCGCAGAGGGCAGAAGTGAGGAAAGCGCAGAGGGCAGAAGTGAGGAACGCGCAGAGGGCAGAAGTGAGGAACGCGCTGAGGGCAGAAGTGAGGAACGCGCAGCGGTCAGAAGTAACGCGCAGAGGGCAGAAGTAAAGAACGCACAGAGGGCAGAAGTAAGGAACACAGGAGTGCAGAGAGCAGAAAGAAGCACACAGTGGTAAAGAACGCACTAAATCCTGCTTTCCTATCACAGTATGGGGTGGCATGGCATGCGTTATATGTGACAGCACAGAAGCATTTAGAACCATTTGCTCACTGGTATTGGGCAGCTGGATTTTTTTACATAGAACATTTTTAGCAGCAGATGTAAACAATGAGGGCCCATTCACACTATAAAGAGTGCCTTCCAGTGCATTCAGCCTCTGGAACGCAACTCGGACAGATCACTTTGTTTTGGGGTAGAGGGGGCGTGACGGTGCATTGAAGTGAATAGCACCGTCGCCACGCCGCCGGCCCGCAGTGCGATCTCCAGCACGTGGCAAATTAGTGCCTGCATTCCGGTCCAGTGCGATCTGCAAAAAATTCGAGGCTGTAATAATTCCTCCCCCCCCTCCCCAGCATCAGTAGTCAGTGGGAAGT